GAAGAGAAGGGAGGGAATCTTCTATTCTCTTCCCTCTTCTTCTTCTCTATTTATCGGTCCATTTCCAGATGTACAACTTTGCAAAACTGGGTATTACGATTAAAATCACAGCATATGTTAACTACTTTTAATTGTTTATATACATTCCCATAGAAATGCATAAAGAAAATCAGAATATCATCTTTTTTAAATTAAAAAAAAAGATAGCTTTTAAATTCTACTTGATTTCTGAATGGATCTGAGTTATGAACCTTTCCATAAAAATGAAATATTGAATTCATAGAGACCAGTACCTACAATTTTCACTTTTGAATTATATATTTCACTCCAAGCGCGCGCGCACACACACACACACGTACATATATATACACACAGAAGGGGAGGAGAGGAAGAGGGAGTGTGTGTGTGTGTGTGTGTGTGTGTGTGTGTGTGTGTGTGAGAGAGAGAGAGAGAGAGAGAGAGAGAGAGAGAGATGGCTTGTGTGTACACTTTAGGAAGCTTTTTGCTTATATGTAGTAGTAGTACATAATTTTATCAACATCATAATCCCATTATTGTTAGTGTTGATGGCATGCCTGCTTCTCTCACTGGCATCTTAAAAAAAAAATACAAGTAGTCTTCAACTTACAAGAACTACTAATACCAAATTTTCCATTGTTAAACTAAGCAGTTGTTAAATGAGTTTTGCTCCACCAAATGCGCACTTTGCACAGGCTTTATAACTGACCTCCTGCAATCCTGCACTCTCCCTGTCGTTTCAGCAGTTGCCGCGCAACAATCTGCTGTGTCACGCAAAGCAGCTGCGCTTCAAAAGCAGGACATAAAGGTTAGTATGGGAGCCTGCGCGGACAGCAGAGCGATGGAGAGAACCGGTTCGGTCTCCACTGCTCATCGGTACTACAGGCTCCGCAGAACTCGGCAGAACCAGTAGAATACCACCACGGATCTTCTGCCATTGACATTGCTTTTCGGAAGCTGTCTGGGAAGTTTACAAACAGTGATCACATGCCCCATGGACAGTGCAAACCTCATAAATACATGCCAGTTGCCAAGGGTCCAAATTTTGATCATATGACCATAGGGATACTGCAACAGTCGTAAGTGTGAAAAACGGTCATAGGTCACTTTTTTCAGTGCTGTTGTAACTTTGAAAAATCACTAAATGAATGATTATGACTCATTCTGTATCTAAAAGAGACTTTTTGTGTGAGCATCCAGAATTCAATGGCAGTTGTAAATACTGCAAAGGAAGGGATAGGGGGACCACATTTGGAATTTGAATGAGAACAAAAAATGTTCATTACAGATCAATGTACCAAACTCCTTTTGTGGCATAAATAAGTACAAAACAAAATAGCAATGTTGCAACTACATATCTTTATCTTGAATAATGCTTGATACTAGATACCCCCAGGAATAGGATGTGAAGACTGAAGTATGTATAACAAAACTTTAGAAGTTAAGGAATGACAGTCGAAGTAAACCCAAATTCCTGATTCTCAAAGTTCTTGCATGATAGACCTTTATGTAGTTTCCAAGTAAGTATCAGAGAAACTAGCACTTTAGGGACCCCAATTACCCCCAAAGCTGCTCTCTTGTTCTATTCTTCTATCTTCCAACCTGATTTTTAAATACTATATTAAAAACAGAGCTGGCAGAATCAGCAGAATCATTTAAGATGCCTTCATAATATAATATGGGCATCACATATCACAACAACATGTTGATAGCATTCTAAAATCTTCTTCTATCATCCAGATACTACTAGTATCACTAGTACTATTACTATCACTACTACTACTACTTTAACTGAATCAACAACTTGAGTTAAATAATTAAACCTGGCTTCCCAGAAATGTCAAGATAAAAATCAGTGTAAATTTTATTTATTTTTATAAAATTTCCATTTTCATCTGCATGCTATGCCAACTGCTTTGTAGCCCTTTAATTTAAATCATCAAATTGCTTCAGGGAATTGCCAGAATACAAGAGGAAATAGCACCACCCAGTCAGGAACACATTCAAGTTTAGACCAGGTTGGGAGGGAAGCAAATAAATAACATGCTTGTCAAACTTTATAATCAATACATCCAGAACCCCAAATCATTTATTTTGTTTTAATTAAAAATTACATACATCTTTTTTCCTAAAGAAATCTATTTTTGGAAGGAAAAGCTTTATTGCCATGAAATAAAAAGTGTATTTCAGGGAAACCGGTACTCTCTGAATGGATGCACACAATCCTTCTCTCACAAATCAGCAGCTATATAGCAATATTCCATTTAAGCCTGATAATATAAATTTGCCAGTCAATTATTCAAATTGTAGCAAATCCCTGCATGATATATGTTTCTTCAGGAGCATATGTGCAAATCGTTCAGCAAAGCAAAGTGCCTTTTTGGATCTGCTCCACAAAGCTGCCACAACTGCTCAAAGGCTTGTATATGGATTCCAAGACATTTCTGCTAGGACAGCAAGAGAAATGAAGTCAACACCACTGGGCTTCTCCAGTATCCTAGCTCAGATAATAATGTTTCTTGTATACAGCCAGTGGCTTCCAAAGAACAGTATAAAAATGCTGCAAAGCTAATGAATAATTGGTAAATAAAATAATATAAATCACTGGCTTTGTTAATATACCAAATCTACTCTGAACTCCTTCTATGGGAAAATAGTATGTAGTTAAGATTTCACTGGACACTTATGGGTGTTGAATTGTGTTTGAAACTGAATATGCCTCTTTTGTGTTTGCTTTTTAACTTCTAAAGCCCTAGGTATACCTACAACAGAGCAAGGTTCTTTGAAAGCACAGGCTTACTTTCAAAGACCGATTTCTCCCTCATTGTCTAATATAGCAATCACTTTTTTAAAGTGATCTTACAATTAGCATTGTGTCACCATCCATTTCGACTATTCTAATGGTTCTACATGGATCTCCCCTTAAAGAGTACTCAGTCACCTCCCATTTTAACTATTCTAATGTGTTCTATGTGGATCTGCCCTTAAAGAATACTCGGAAGCTTTAGATAGTACAAAATGCAGCAACATATTGCAATCATATCGCTTACTAATGGCAATCCCACAAGTCCCTGCTGCTGTTGTAATCCAGGAATCATGCAAATCATTCAGTAGGAGAGACAAGAGTTGCAGGTAAGGAGGGTGGGGAATGTGAGGTGCTTCATGTAGGCATTATGGAGAGTGAGCAGGGCAGCAAGGACAATGAGCAGATACTGGAAAATGTAGGAAGGTCAGTGGGCAGATCCTGGGAAATGTTGGCAGGAAGGCAGATGCTAGAGACTACAAGATCCTTGGGACCTCGTTTTCTGTAGGGGACTCCTGAGAAGAAAAAGTGGTGGGTACAACTTGCGACCTTCCCTACTAACTTTCTCATTTACTTTCCCCTTTTCTGGCTGAGAAGATCACTAATGATGATCATGTGGCCATGCTTACCATAATGGCAGAATCGTGAGCCAAGCGCCCTGTTTACAATCACATAACCACAGGGACACTATGGTGGTGGCAAGGTCACAGATCAGTTACAAGTCCCCCCTCATTCAAAACGTGGGTTGTAATTTTGAATGGTCTTTGAACAGGAGGTGGTTAAGTCAAGGACTAAATGTACTGTAGCTCAGCTACCAGAATAAACTTTTAATAACCCTTTAGTTATAGTAGCAAAGTGATAAAATTCAGGAGTCCAATGGTACCACAGATACTTGGCACTTACCTTGCTACTCGTTCCACCTAATTTAACTTAAAACAAGGCAAAGCTCGCAAGCTGCAAAGCAGTAGTTTCCATTGAGCTCCAAACAGATCCCATAAATTTTCTTAGAGTTAACCGAGTGGTAAGTTCTTGAGATAGGTGGCCTTATAAAACGAATAGAAGAATTAATGAGCATTTTTAAAATTGGTTCTTTGAAACTGGATATTTTTCTCCTGACAGCCATTTTATAAACAGATGAACTCTCCTTTCCAAAGCAGCATTTTGCAGAAAAATTGAGAGCACTGGACACTGAGGACATTACTTTAGTTGACTAAACAAATGTCTGCAAGCAAACAACCAAGCTCAGAGACCACCAAGGACTCTACCAAACAGGCTTCGCAAGCATCTTTTCTCATATGAACTCAAAACATTAATGCCAACTTAAATGTATGAGAGCAGTTGGCTCATATTATTTTACAGTTTTATTTTTCTTTGCACTTAATTCTGCTATTTGTTTTAGGCTATTTTTAAGTAAAATGACTGAAGGAATGAAGGAAAAGTTCTGAAGGAATGAAGGACTGAAGGAAAAGTCTTCAACCTAAGCATAACCTTCAGCTTCATAAATATTCCATTTTGCAAATCTGGATGCCTGAAACTTTTTGGTCCCATAACAAATTCAAACCAATATTCCCATTAATGGAAAAAGTTAGAATGCTTAATTAAGAATAAAATAGTCTCCTGACTAACTAAATAAAGCAACGACAAACCACCCATTTATAAAATAGTCATTAGTTGTTTGTAGCAAGCCCATCAACATTGATTACTTTTTTATCAGCAGTTGGCAATTAGTTACCCAAGTTATAAATGTACAATTAAAGTAGTGTTCAACCGACCATATTCTTTAATAACATATCCTGAGCCACAGTGAAAAAAATGACTGTGTAACGTCAAAGCCATCATGCTAAACAAAACTGAACTGAGCTTTATTTCCCATATCGAGAACGCTTTGAGAAAGGTAAAGAATTATTATTCTGAGGCAAATGGATAAAACGGTTCTTGTGGGCAGAGGGGAAAATTATTCCCTACTTGTTCTAAGGAACATAAAAAGCACCGTGACAGCCCTGGAAATCATTCTATTCATACAGCCTAAAATCAGGAGTGCTTTGCTACATTAATACAGAGGTTGGTTTACAAGGGCACCCCCCAATAGGCATGACCTTTAGAAAATGCAGGCGCAAGCGTGGGAATCCAAGAAGACGGAGGGGAAAGAAGATGAAAGATGATGCCAGGGCTGCAATTGTCTTATGCTAAAGACTTGACTTCGTCACGTAATTCATACAGCTGTAGCCGGACTAATTTGAAAGATCACTTTTCAAAAAGCTGATAAAAATGCAGCGTTTGATTTGAAGAAGGTGGGCTGTTGTTGTTTTTTCCACAGAGCTGGATCAGGTCTTCTTTTTAATGGCATTGATTAAAATGATAATAGTAAAAAGACGGTGGTAATGCCTTCCTTTAAAAAAAAAAATCATATAAAGCTGCAAAAATTCAGCTGGCTGTCACGTTGCTCCCCCGTCCCACTATTTCTCCTCTTTTTCTCATATTGCTTTATACAATTACTTCTCTGGTTTAATTGCTCAGATAAAATCATGGAGAAGCTACAAATTACCCGAGTCGCTAAAAGAATAATAATTATTGAAAATGACTTCTTCCATTTTATATATCTAAAACTGTTAAGAGACAGAGGAAATGACTTAAAATGTAGTAATGCTGGAATCATTTGAAATCTTGGTGGAAAAGTCTCCCAGAATCTATCTTTTCTACATTACAAAACTTTATGCCAAAATAAGCCAAATATTGTGCCAAGAAAAGCAGGATTCTGTGCTTTTTTAATGAAGGAAATGTTCGTATGCCATTATCTGTGCTGTTTCTACTAGACATGAAGAAACACAGGAGCTGTGGAAAAATAACATCCCTACAATTATTTCAATGTTTTAGCTTCATGACATAAAATTGATTTCAAAAATTGGATTATAAATATTCAAATATTTGGATTATCAGAAGGAATTTTAAACCTACTAATAAATGGGACACTTTGTTCAGTAAATATGCTTTAAAAAAAGAAATGTATTGACTGATCCAAGTGAAGTACACTGCCCCTGTCCTCAATCCATACATATCAGAGTGTTAAGCAGAAATTTCAAATGCATATTTCTTTCTCAGCATTCCTAGTCAAACAGAAATTTTGACTCCGAATCATATTTAAAAAGGTAGCACCTTTTTTAGGAATTTTTATCCTGCTTTGCATGAGGATGAAAAATGAAGACCACATCTTCTTGGCTCTTTAAGACTACACTGAATAAGAATATAATTTTATCTAATTCTATAATTCTATATCATCTCCTGACAAAAGCCAATTTAAAACAGTTGTCTAACAGATACCTATTGGGAAAAATATCTTTTATCATAACAGTTCATTAATAATTCCAAGCTACCAGGAAAAACAATCTCAGGTTACCTGATAGTAATGAATTTACTAGGCTTTCAGGGACTTCTGTCTACCATAAGGATGTTTTTCTTAGTTGACAAAGTTGGTCTCTGACCCAGATGCTCATAGTAATGGATTAAGTTAAGAGAGATTAATGTCAAAGCAATACAGAAAGGCTGACACACCTTGCTGACTAGATTGGTACCTTGCTAAATAAATCTCTCCTGCTATGGCTAAAAACCTAATGATAGCAACAGAGCAGAACAGAGTGTTAAAGCCAAGTTACACAGAAGAATTTTCCAAAGAATATTCTAGAATAAGACAGTATCCTTCACACTGAACCAAAAAAAATGTTTCAAATAAAAAACAGTGGTCACATATCAATATTCCATACATCATAAAGTCACCAAACCTATCTAGCTGTATTTATAGTAGCCATTACAAAAAACCTTAACTAGCAATTCCAAAAATCACCTCTCAATGTACTAATATTTATAATGCACAAGTAATATCTAAAACACACAAGAAATGTCGGGAACTAATGCTAAAAAAGAATTCTGTCAATGGATCAAATCAAATGTTTTAATGTTCCTGGTTTTAGCTTGTTTAATTTGTCAGCTATCATTATAAACAACATAAATTATAAGCAAATTGCTACCATGTGTTTTGTGCTAATTAAGCTGTTTCTAATTTAAAGGTGTTCTATATTTACAATTTTAAATGCAAATATGCATACATTTTTTTATAGATTGCTGATTCCAAACACACATCATTAGAAAGAAAAACAAACAGCAACTGCTGGCAGAAGCGAAGTTTGCAGCACAATACATGTACAAGGCAATTTCCCCTCTCAAAATCCTTAATTCTCATTAACAAAAGAAATTGTAAGTATCTACTTTTCTTTTGTCTTGTAGCCGCTGAGGAGAGGGGGCTTGCTAGTATCATAGGAGACTCACTTGGTAGCTCTCAATAAACCAGGTCAAAAACATTTGAATTTCTGGAACATTAATGGCATTTCTTGATTACACATTTATGGCCCTTTAGTGCTGAAATGTAATGTGCACAAAATAAGAAAACTTCAGTTGAAGGTGCTTGTAGTATCAGAGGCTTATTTATTTCTCCAATATTCAAGGCTTATTTATGTGATTAATTGTCACTCATGCAGAAGCAAACATGAAAAATGCATTTCTAAGGTGAACAATAAATGTTTGTTGTTGATGATACCATTTAAAGAAAGAAATGCTTTACACCGAGTGCTGTTTGTATCTGAGTGGAAAGATAATGTTCCTATGATAAACATATTAGCAGCTCAGCACAGATCATTCTAAGGCATGGCATTGTTTGGGAAGCAAAGTTTGTCTGCTGTTTTTAGGCTGACAAACCATGCAGGCAAGTCAGCAGGCAAACCAGAATGTGAAGCCCACTTGAAAGCAGTTGTGTAAATGATGGCTGGTGTCAGATCTTACCCCTCCAGAAAAAAAAACCCAAAATACAATAAATGATATCTTTCATTTTTTATGAAATCAGCAAGAATTGGAACACAATTATTGTCCAGCCAGACCACATGCTATTCTTCCTGTTCACATGATGTCTTAACACACTATCAGCAAGTTGGTTTGCACTGTACCTGTATGTCTGCTCTGTAAAATGATAAGTTGTATATTTCATGTTGTCTACTCAAGTCCACCTATGTATCAAATGACTGAATGACTGAATGGTAAAATGGCAGTTACTGTGGAGAAAGCCACACCCCTCCAACCTCTATTGTGTATTCATTTTCCTAACACTCTATTCTCCACTTTTGTTCCCTTCTCACAAAGTGATTGAAGCGTGTTTCAGTTTATATTATTTTATACAAATTGGATATTGTGTTTCCTAACAGTATAATTACAACTTTCTGATTTGTGATTTTATTTCAAACAAGCAAAGCAAATTTGTGCATGTCATTGAACACCATTTGGCCATTATTTGAGTATCCATCAAGACCCAGCCCACAATGACCGGCTAATAATGCCCAAGGATTTCTTCCTCACTTGATAAATTTGCCTGTATTCCCTGTTCAAATTTGCCTGTATTCCCTGAGAACAGAAGGAAGGTGAAATGCTTTAAGAAATTATGTTTTTACCAATTAATCAACAAATCTTATCACAGTCTCAGACCAGCATCGAATATTTATTTTACTGTATAAGGTAGAAAAAGAGAATTGAAGATATAAATTTTCATAAAATTACTATAAACTACAATAATATGTCACACTAAAAAGCATCGCTTTTGAGTTCTATTTTCCTACACTTTGTTACCACCATTAAGACTCAAGTGGTAGAAAGTTTCTATCTATAATGGCGAATTCTGGGAATTGAAGTCCACCAGGCTTAAAGTTGCGAAGGTTGGAGACCTCTGATCTATACCATTCTGATCTCTGTAAAGTATAGTATAGAATCAAAAGGACTCTGGTCCTTATTTGTTTGTTAAATTAGTCACTTAAGAGTATCTCCACAATGAGACAGGCAGCAAATGAATTTAATAAATAAACAAATGAACTTCTGCCTTTCATGTTCAATCACTGAAAGCAAAGGCAGACAAGAAATATGATGTAGACCAGCCCTGAAGGACTTTCTGATTCTATATGGTGTCTATACTTACAGATATCAGAATGGTACGCACAATAATTTTCCTGTCACTTTATAGAAGGCAAAGTTGTTCTTTGAAAAAGGGGGATAGGAAGAATATCAATCTTTTTAGCTTTAGTGTTGGAACCTTCTGATAATACAGTGGACAACCAAGAAAATAAAAAATGAATGAGCTAAGAAATGGATCATCAAACACATCAACATAGGACCAGGCTAATATCACCATACTTTGGACCCATTGTATGTACACCTATTACAGTAGCTATGAATGCACCATTGAGAGTCCTTAAGGACCCGGTTGGGTACAGATGGCCCTGGAGAAAAATTATGTGGTAACTAAGACTCGGATTATATTTAATAACATATAAACATGCAGATCATAATCAGCATCAATGCTGTTTTGTTTCTTTTTTCAATGATATGTTTAGGTAAATCCCTGAACAGAATTCACTTTGTGATTTGAATCTTTGATATCCTTTGAGGAAACATCACACATTTACAAAAGGAACTGATAAGACTGGATATTACTAATCCTTCTAGTCCTCAGATGCTATCTGACATTTCTACCTTTTTGACATTTCTTCTGGACTAGTGGAAATATTTTCAAAGAAGCACAAAGGACTATTCCATTTTATCATTACCTCATTTTTAATAATGCCTATGGACCCTGTATGAGTCACGCTTATTTTAAATAAAGGGGGTGAATTCAGTTGGCTATTTACTTAGTGGCATCATAAAAATATAACCTCCCTCAAGATAAGCTCTGGTCTTAATAATTGGATGAACCTAACCATGATATTCCTTAAAAACAATATAGAAGTGATTTGTTTTTGTCTTCCTTTTGATTCCCATATGCCCAATTCCAGCTTAGCCTACAGCTTTGAAATATCATTTTTGTCCCCATTCAAATACTAAGCAGCTATATACTTTCACCTTCTGTGAAGTATGCTAAATAGCCACATTAAATTTGGATAGGAAAACAAATTTGATGGTCTTCAAGATGGAAGAGACTCTGGCAGGCATCAAGCTAAATGCACATGTAGTCCAGTTCAATTGTCTTTCCTCTAGGGTATGAAAGTTGTGGAGAAATTTTATCCATCGACCAAAAAAAAAATCAAGAAAAAACACACAGAGAGACATAGAGATAGAGAGAAGGGAGAAGAGGGAAAGAGAGAGAAGGGAAGCATAGGAATAGGGATTAGTGAAAGGGAGAGGAAGACAAACCTATTTGGCCAATGATAATACAACAGATATGTCTTTCTTACAAGACTATCCACTCAGTAAAAAAAACTTTAATAATACCTGTAAAAGATACAGCTGAAGCACAGTATAATAAAAGACTGGATTTCTTAGTAAGCTGATTTTGCTTTGCTTAAATGTTTAGAAATTCAAATCATAAAATAATAATGCATGATAATTTGAGATAACATTTTGAAAATTGCCACAATACTAGTGTGGAGTAATGTCAGTAAAAAGTAATCAAAAACACATACTTTTGACATGGACATTTTTAAAAGTATAACAGAACATATATCTCATCTTCTAACAACAAAGGCAAATTATGTGCTATCTACTTTGGATAATGGATAGCAGACAGATGCTGGAATGTGCATTTATGAGCTGTGGTGCATTAATTAATCGACATAGGAAGAGTGAATCCATTTCTCTGCATTATTAGTTTATAAACAAGAGACATTTTCCCCAAAATGCTCAAAATGATTCTGTTATTACAACAATGCCATTTAAATCTAATATTTAACAGCGCTTTAAAAAAAAAAAAAGAGGCAATAAATTTTTAATCTATTCAGCTTTGTTCTGTTACTGATTAGACCTATAGACCACAAAGAGCCAGAATGGCAAGAACCTCAAAAAGACTTATTTATGTCAATGACAGATCAAAGCAGCATTACTAGAATTATGTAATCTCTTTAAATGTGGTGTTGAAAGAAGAGGAGGAGGATAAAAAAGGCTGCTCCACATGCATTGTGCAACTTTTCTTTACTTGACTGTACTACTTAAGCGACTTTTTTGAAGATGTAATTAGAAGAGTGCAGTATATTAATCAATATGTCATGGGTTACTCATTGCAGACAAAACCCATCCATTTTTTGGTGTTTTTTGTTTCACAGTTTCTTGTCAAAGATGTTAGTTATTTTAAAAAATACTTTAAAAATATGGGAAGTAGCATACTGCACTTTTAAAAATAAATCACCAGCTTCCAGAATTATCTTTAACCCCAAGAATACCTCTGAATCCAAAATGGGCCACATAGGATTTCTTAGAAATTAAAAATAATGGATGCTTAACATGGGGGTATGCCTATAACCACAGATAAAGGATAAAAATACAGATAAACACTCTTGAATGTACTGTAAGAAGAGGAGCTACAGAGGATCAAAGTTGAAATGTTAGGAAATCAATGCTTTATCCTGCATTGAAGCTGCCATTTTGTGAATCAGTAAGCCCTCCCTCAGCAGCCATTTTAGGAAAAATATGTGCAATATATTTTCAAACTTTTAAATGTGCCTCAACCAAAAACATCCCTTAGGGATCCCTGTGTTAATATAAATATAGGAATATTTTCTGTCACATTACTATTTGTAACCAGACTAATATTATAACACATTTTTCATTAGATTACCATCATCATTGTTTTTAAAACTATGTTTCCTGATCTTAGAAATGAAGAAAGAACAGATGAATTCATTACTCCTACCACTCTTCAAATCCTTGACATATTTCACTATCATGATGGATTATCCCACAGGGTTGGTTACCCAGATGTTTCTCAAATGTGAGCTAAAAGTTCTCTCTATTCATAATACATATTCACAATACATATATGGGATTCTTTTTCCACTTTTTGATCAGATAAAAACTTATTGCAGTTTCTTAAAAACAGCAACCTTAAAAAGAATATGTACCTGTTGATTTGCTGACCTTTGAAAATTTTCATTTACCTTAAAAAAAAAATAGTAGAAAACCAACCCAATTTCTAATCAAAAGCCTCAATAATATTGAGTCTGATACTCAAATATTCTCCTAACCACAACGAAATCTGAAGTTTTTTAATTACATAGATGAATGTAAAATACTAGTAACATTCTATATGCTGTTCTACCTGAGCCACCTGCCACCTCGCACTGTCCTAGGTATTTCAGAAAACACCTGGGCAAGATGTTTGCTGGAGATGCTATTAGATAATCAGCAAATAAAACCACTCCTGGCAGCCCTTCAGCATTAGTGTTGAGCCACAGCAGCAAGCTGGCACCTGGCAAAGAGAAATGCTAGATGCGATAATTCCAATTTACACATTCAGCACAACATTCCATCTGCCTGTCATTGGGAAACAGTTTCATATTCAGTGATAACAAAGATACCCTGGAACAATACGGTGTCCAATTGCTGACATGGAGATTCCCTGAACAAAGCAGACACCAGCTACAAATGCCTTTTTTTTTTTTTTTTTGCTTACATGATTAGAAGGGTTTCTACTGAAGTAAGAAAAAAATAAGGCAAAAATGGACTTCAAAGAAACATCCACTAACCAAAGCTGAAAGCAGGCTGTTATTCGAAGGATGGGCCCAAAACCTACATGAAAAACAATCATTTATTTTAAGTTGGATACTGAAAGAAATAACTAATGTGATAAACCTACCAACTTAGAACTTCCTAAAGTTTATCGTATTACCTATTTTTCTTGAAGTTGTTATAAGCAGGTATATAGACACCTTAAAAACAGAGATGAGGAATTGCTAAGAATGAACATGATGTGTTTGAAAATGACTCTCTTTGTTGTCTCCTTTGCTTTGTGAGTGGAAAAAAACATGGATTACCATAGTTGTAAACTGCAGACATTATCATTTGCTAACCAAAAAAAACCCTTTAAGACTGGAACTTTTGTCATAACTTGATGCCCCAAAAGAATCTAATTAGTATTTTTTAATATTATAAACATTGCAAATAGTCAAAGATATCTGATTATTTTTTTCTATCTTCTTTTTGCAACAATATTTGTGATTTTCACTGTTATCTTCCGGTATGAATGTAGACATTATCTTAAACAAATTTATATTTTACAATAGTTTGTCGCAAAGGTGACTGACAGTGAAGGCTCCTGGATTGGGGCTGAAAGGTGAAAGCAGAAGCAGTATGTTCCGTCGCATAGTTGTGTAGACCAGATTGTCCTGATAGACTGGTCTCAGTGGAGGAAAAAAAAAACCACATTATCTTAAATACTATAAAAGAAGAAATTAAAAAAGACCAACTAAAGGGTTGAAAGTATAACAACCTTTTTCATCTTTTTTTTTTAAATCTCAGCAGCTTCTGGAAAAGATTTTGGTGCATCCATCTATTTGGCTTCTATCAGCAGCCTTAAAAACATTATTCCATGGTCCCAGAAAGTGCATTCTAGGACATTGCTTTTCCCAGTTGCTCTTTTCCAAATTCAGACAAGGCTGCACTTGAGGGAAGCACAGGTGGTGTGAGTGTGTCAATATCAATCAACAAGGGAGGGGGGGGCTATTTAATTAAAAGTTTTTCCACTGGTTGATTGTTCTAACTGTCAGGAAATTTCTCCTTAGTTCTGGGTTGCTTCTCTCCTTGGTTAGTTTCTCTCCATTGCTTCTTGTCTTGGTCTTCTGGTACTTTTGAAAATAAATTGATCCCCTCTTCTTTGTGGCAACCCCTCAAATATTCTAACACTGCCTATCATGTCACCCCAAGTCTTTTTTTTAACAAGACATATCCAATTCCTGTAAGCGTTCTTCATGTTTTAGCCTCCAACCATCTTTGTTGCTCTTCTGTGCACTCTTTACAAGAGTTTCAATATCTTTGGTATATTGTGGTAAACAAAACTGTATACAGTATTCCAAGCATGGTCTTAACATTAGTTTTAGTAACTACTAACTTACTAAGGCATTACAAAGTGGTACTAACATGCCACATGATCTTGATTCTATCCCTCTGTTAATGTAGCCTAGGGTTGCACTGGCTTTTTTGGCAGTTGTAGCAAATTGCTGGCTCATGTAAAAGTGATTGTCTAAAAGTGATTGGGGGAACAGGGAAGGCAGCAACAGCTGTGTTGACAGGGATGGCATGGGTCAGATCCATGACTAACTGCTCAGCTGGGTGGTGTCACCCTGGCTGCCGAGCCCATATGACAAGGCCTGATGATTCATACTCCCTCCTAACAGCTGACCAGCGGTCTCCAGGTAGACGTGAGGCAGTCAGAAGCAGGATGGACTAACTAGAGATGCCAGATGCTGGCTATGTGGATGGGGCTGGGCCATGGGTATGGCATATGCATTTAAACAGCACTGGTAGGCGGTAGCTCCCAGCGCTAACTAGAAACTGTTATGTGCTCATTTGTGCTGGACCTCAAATAAACCTGTATCAAGCAACCAGCTTGTTTCTGTGTTTCCTTTGTTGAGACTACAGACGAATGACAGGTAGTCAGTGCCCCTTCATTTAATACAACACCAGACTGGACTTCCTGGTATCCCCAAAGGAAAACAGGTGACAGGGGATGGCGTGAGTACGATAGATGACTAACTGCCTGGCTGGGTGGCATCACTCGGCTGCAGAGCTCACATAATGAGGCCTGATGATTGCATGCTCCCCCCTAATAGCAGACTGGTGGTCTCCGAGTGAACAGCGCTGATTGCGAGGGAGCCAGAAGCCAGATGGACTAACTGGAGACACTGGATGTGGCTATGTGGGTGAGGCTGGGCTGTGGGTATGGTATATGTATTTAAACAGTGCTGGTAGATGATAGCTCCCAATACTGACTAGAAACTAAAATAAACCTGTATCTAGCATCCATTTTATTTCTGGCTTTCCTTTGCTAATGCTATGAATGAGTGAGACTTTGCTCTTCTTTACATTGAATTTCACTTTGTTAGATAGAGCCCAGTGTTGAAGTCAATTGAGATCTACTAGGATCTTGAGCCTATTTCAAGATAGGCTTTACACACACACACACACACACACACACACACACACACACACAATTCTTTGAATCATTAGAATAGAGGTTGGGCAGGAAAAAACTTCCTTTTTTCCTATTTCCCTTGGTATCATTTGAAAAAATGTTGTCTGTCTTAGAAAGCAGTTTCAATTTTCTATCCTTCTATTTTAACCTGCCTTAATCTGTTAACAAAAGTACTTTAGGTAAAATGATTCCTTCAGTTGCCTTAGCTACAAATCCCCATAGTATACTATAATTGAAATCTACTCACGTAAGTTAAGAATAATTAGGAACCCAAATTAAGCCAAATAGAAATTTAATTCAAACAGTCAGCTGCTGTCATTTAAATGGTTACGGGGTATTACCGTTGCTTAACATATCCGAATGTTTTCAAAATGGACCTTGCTTGTTGCTTGGCATCTTAAGGATTTACTCTTTCATTTTTTGGGCCTTACTCAAATGAAGTCCATTTTCATAAAAGCTCACCAGTTAATGTCAGCTTTTCAAATAAGCCAATTTGTAATTCTACACAGAAAATGAAGTACAGCTGCTCTGAGGTAAATAAAATTGACACTTCATAACACCTGAATGCATCCAACAAAAAATAAAAATAAAATAAAAATAAAAACACAATGATCTGTTTCAAAAGTTTATTAACACCAAGCTATCCTAAACCAAAGCTAATAATTAAATTTGGTTCCTGACTTCTATTAAGAAACATAAGAAAATGCCTGCTGATGTGGTGTCCATTAGTATTTGAATTAGAGGAGGGTTGTTTATTTGCTTTGAAAAAGGGCAAGTAGATTATATTTGTTCAATATAGAAGTTACAACCACAAATTACAACCACAATTGTGACAAGAATTTCTATTGTTGAGCAAGATGGTTTGTGAATCATGCTCCATTTTTGCATCCTTTTTGCCTCAGTTGTTAAGCAAGTCACTATAGTTAAGTGAATCATGTGGTTATTAAGTGAATCTGCTTTCTTCTATCATTGACTTGCTTGCCAGAAACTGGCTAGGAAGTTCACAAATGGCTATCACATGGCTTCTGGATTCTGCAACTGTTGCATATGCCGACTGGTTGACAAGAATCCAAATTTTGATCATGATGATTTGATGGGGATGCTGCATGTAAGTGTGAAGACTGGTTGTAAGCCACATTTTTCAGTGCCATTATAACCTTGAAATATCACTAAACAAATGGTTGCAAGTTAAGGTTAACCTGCAGTCAAAAGTTTTTGGACTTTTTCCATTTGTAACACATTCTGCAACTTTCCCCCTCATTTCTTCTTTGGTTTTGTGTTATGATGATTAATTTTGAAATTTTATAATTTAATCAATACTGACAGATGGATTTGTTCTTCACTTGGACCTCCCTTGGTCTAGCTAGTACAGTGAATTTATTTAAAAGTAGGGTAAGATTAAGTGTAACATTTAAAAAACAGGATATATCATTCTATCAGTACGAGGCCTCAACATTGACAAAAAATCCCATTTGATCCATTAATATATACAAAATCAGTAATTCCTCAAAGCGATTTGCAAGCTATTGTATGAGTAATTCTAGAACTTATGCCCGAAACAGGATATAAGCAATTGTACAAGTTGTTCCATAAACCGTTATCTAAATCCTTGCATGCTGATTAGAACCAAAAAGGTAGGGTTTCTTATCCTGATTTCATTCCTGCTGTTGTTGATGGAAAAATGGTCAATAGACTACATTTGCTACTTCTTTACTGGATTCACTAAAATCAGTGTCAACCTATTCTTGTATTATGTGTTTTGTGATGAACCCAAAACTAACCAATAGTAATATACTATTGCAGGTTTATTATATATCTGTAAATTCATAATGAAGAAAAGGTTCTCCCATCACTGCCATGGAAAAAATGTTACAGGATTTCCAAATTCATATATGCCCACATTTAAAACTGAGTTTTTCAAACTATTTTCATGAAACACTATGGTTCCATGATACATAAGAAAAAAAATTCAGTAAAGAACTAATTTAAATCATGTGACAATATGAAATATTCTTTGCTTTGGGAGAAATCTTGAATTGACCCTTTTTTACCAAAATATTGAATATTCTTCAGAGAAGATTATATAATACAAATGGTAATAGGAAGTCTGAAATCTCACTATGCCAAATATCACAATATTTTTATGTAGTTATTCTCAACATCTTGCAAGATTTCATATAAAAGTATTAATATATTGCATTGTTTATTAATCTTATCAAATTTCAGACATACATATCTAGCTATAGTTTCTGGGGGGAAAGCTGTGCTTGTCATTTAATAACACTGACATCTCGCAAGATCTGGTGATACCTTGGCAAGTTTGTAATTAAAAAAAAAATCTAAAATATTCTGCAAATGCCACATTGCCACATATTAGTTAAAAGTAACAGGCTTGGGACTCCTTGAAATATGCACTGTAATTTAGAACAGTTTGAGATGTAGGTATATACCAAAAGACCAGATTTTTAACTAGATCACCTACAATGACAATCCTTCAAGGCATCCTAATTTCAGAGCACAGTGCATACAATCTAACTTTAGCCTTTTCTTTTTAATTGCATTCTTACATTCTCTCTTTAATAATACATCCTAAATGATATGTCCCTCAAGGAAATTATTCGAAGTGGAATTTGCAGGTTATTAGTTTACTTATAATACATTTTACAGCAGGTTTTACAGCTCATTAAATCTATCCTAACTGGCCTTTCTGAAGCATGGTATCAAACTTAAGACAATTCTTATTTACTTTTTATGTAATTATTTACTGTGAATCATCTTAATAAAAAGCAGAAATATGCAAACAAGTTTTCAAAACTCCCATCAACTTGAATAGGCAAAAACACATCACAAACCATCAGTTTGTTCCTTATTGCTTTCCATGCTGCATGCCAATTTCATCTGTTATAAATTAACTAATGAAAAAGGACAAAAAACATACAGTACATTACTGTTTACAAAGAGCAGATTTATCTCAAACCCACTGAAATGCGTAATCAATTCTAAATGGCCACAAAACCCCATTTTCTTAAACAGAATTATGATACTGAATAGACCTGTGAACTTGGACTATATGACTGAAATTCATTTTACAAACATTTTGTTTCAGTAAGATTCTCATTTGACAATTCAGGCAGAAAAAAATGTTTGTCCATGCGTGTACCGTGAGTGTGTGTTTTTGTGCTTACAAGTTTGGGTGCTATTCCATTTCTATTTATGATATAAATATAAAAGCAATTCTTTATTCCATCAAAGAATGCAGGGTATGTGTGTGCGTGTATGCGCACACATACACACACATATACACATGGGTATTTAGATATGTTACAGGGGAAATATCAGTTTCCATTCATGAGTAGCTAAATGGATTTAACCAATATAATATCTTCCAGATGACAACACACTAACTGGCAATTATGAAGTTTTAGCCCAAAATTTGATTTGGAAAGAGAAAGCAGAATATCAAGGCAAGCAATTTATACATGAGAAAGAATTGAATCAAACACAAAATTCAGATATGGAGATTGTTGCACAGACAGCCTCGTGTGGTATCTATATTTAAGGGCAAATATTATTTTCCCATCTTCTTAGACTACAATTGAGTTCCAATTTATTTATTAATCTCTGAGTGTAAATGCTCAAGATTAATTGATAAAATGCACTCATCTCACTGTCAACTGTGGATGATGCTCATATAAAGGCCTGAAAGTATTTTTATATGACACTGTATTCAAGATGTGATTTGGATTTAGTCAAAAACAAATGATCCAGGACAATGTTTCTTAAAATTTCCTCCCCTGACCCAAAAGCAGTTTTTCTTTATATGTGTTATATTTACTACATAACATAATAAAATTGACATGTTTTTGCTACTACTACTACTTCTACTATTGTTTAATATGATTTTAATATTATATTATTTTAAAACAGGCTGCAAATAATTTTACTTTTTAGGATCACTAAGAGGGTCTGTAGAAACACTTATCTAGGAGTACTGATAAAGGAGGCACTTCAACTAAGCCATCAATACTACATCTCTAGTCAAAGAAAAGTTTGTGGATAAAGAAATTACAAAAAGCTTTAGCAGAATAAAAATTTCAGAGCTTGGACAGAACTTGAGATGGTTTATTTTATTTAAATCCACAGGGTTTTTGTTTGGCTTTTAGAGTTTCTGGATCACTTTTGATTTGCTTATAAGAATTACAGGATCTAAAGTATGCCTTTTTCTAGCTAAGGGGTTTAAAAATGACATCAGATGCTGAACATAAGAATAGCTATTGAGATCTTTTTACAGCATTCCAAAGGTCAGCAACACCTGGCCACCCATAAATCTGCAGAACTCGATAAGATTATGCCGGGGATAAACTAATGCTATATAAAATGGTGGAGAACAGCAGATAAGAGAGAGAAAGTGACTTTGATGAGATGAATTTTTTATTCCTTTCAAGAATTTGATCTGAAGCATAACATTTCAGCATACAACACACAATACAAGCTGTGCTCCTAGCAGACTACTAAAGAAATGTTAAGTTTGCCTATTTCTTTTTCTGGAGAATGTTTTATTATGTTATCTGGAAGGATTTAAAGTCATTATATTACAGAAGTATATAAAAGTATTCCCTTTCTTTTACACATATCATTCTTTTAACTTGGATTATATACAACATATTTAAACTTTGTTTAAAAATAGGTTTCCAATTTTATATGACATTCTACTCCAAATCACATGATTTAAAATTGGATCCAAATTTGGCTAATAGAATAATGTCCATATACCAAAAAATATTCAGGAAAAGTGCTTCAAAACATGGAGTACCACAATAATAATACAGTTACTTTATTTTCAGGTTTTTGCATGAACTTAGAAAAATACATTGCTGCTTTAAGAAGTCCATTCATTAAAACCACATTTATAAATACAATTTATTAAAGTAACCATGTTTTTAAAGGATCTAATTAAAACAACTTTCTTTTTTTATATTCTGATTTAAACCTGAAAAAAATCTATGCCAGTTTAAGGAACCATTGTGCTTGTACTTTTCCATATTCCAAATCATGTCTTTCAAATCATTTCTGAACCATGTACCCTGTCTACCCAAGATATCAACACTTCAGTCTCATGTTTGTGACTAATAATGGAACTATTCTTCCCCTATTTTTAGCATTTAAAACAAACATTTTATATAAGAGATGTTCAAAGCTTAGTTAATGCTTTGATAATTTTGTCAGGAAATCTGGATACAAAAATGTTTAAAACATAATGTATTAATTGTTGAATGGAGGAACTTAGTTCCAATTCCTTACTCAAACAAAACTTTATTAGAAGACTTAACAATAAAATATATAGCTGATAAAAAAAATCTAATAAAATACATGAAATCACAGTAATTAAATTTATAGAAATTCTCTTCTGGCTAAAGAAAAAGGACTTAATTCCTTTCCTAAAAGAAAGAAATACAGAACTTATGGACAAGTCAGGTTTCATATCAATGAGCAGATGCACAAATTATTAAGCTGATTTGTTCCACAAAGCTGTTGTGAAAGCTACATATGTGGCAAAGCTCCCATATCTTAGCATTCAAGATGAAACATTTCTGAAAGCTAAGTAAAACAGTATAGTTCATTCCTTTATGTTTTCAATTTAGGTGCTTCCTATTTTATGTAATTGATTACAAAGGCTACAATTTTCCAATATAAAAACCTATTATTATGCTTTTAAAAACCAACAGGAGAATTTCTAAACCTGAAAGCACTGAAGTCTTCTCTTTTCAGTTAATCTGGTTTAGAAAAGCCTTGTTGATTTATCTTCGGATATCAATAAATAATTACAATTAACTGCAGTGTCCTATTAAACAGCTCATCTGTAACAAATTTCCACCAATGTTTTTCAGTAAAATTATTGTGTTTTCTTGTTGTTGCCGCTGTGCCTAGTGTCCAGCTTGTTTTATTTGACAAGTAAAAGTACTTGGGAAATAAATAATAGTCTTCTTTGATGGAGTACCTCACAAAACAACCCTCCTTCTGTGCCCTTGCTGAGAATGTAGCTTTTGTGTAGAATGCACATATTGTCACTCTTTATTACAAATTATCAAGATAGTTTCATCTCAGCCAACAAATATACAGTATGCTTAAAAAGCCACACTCTCTTATAGTCAAGCATAAATGAATGTTGTTGGTATATGAATATTACCAATACTACATATGCAAATTCCTAGAAAGTGTTATATATCTTCCCTACCCAGCACTGTACTTAAAATTCTCCAGACTGCAAGATACATCTCCCTATTAATAGATGAAACTTCCTAATCCACCTTTTCCCTATTACTGTATTAAAAAAGAAAAGCAGAATGCAGTATTTAAGAATTTATAAGAGAATGCAAAATATTCTCAGCCACTAAAATTGTGTAGTGTTGGCCCCCATTAATAAAATGGATGCACACAAAAATGGCTAGCAAGTCAAGCAACTGTCCAAGTAGGCTTGCTCTAAGTTGGTATAGGAACACTTTTGCCATTTCTTTTCAAAATTTCTATTATTCAAGATTTCATATTCTGGGCAATAGGATGATACTCAAGCCTAAAGCTCTGTTGAGGTTTATTTCCCAGACTTTTGCCAGCTATAAAAACATCCACCTCTAAGCCCTATTATATATCTATTAAACCAAAAGGCAGTTATCTTGCAAGAATTTCCAATAAAATAAGATTAATTCATCTGTTTGGGCTTGAAACTACCTCCACATCAGTATTCCATTCCAGAATAGAAACCACAACTTTTGATTTATTCCAATAATTTTTAATTAGTGTGGCTCCCTTCCGTCTATTCTTCCCAATTTCCTCCCTAATTTTCTTTCAAGTGAGAAATGAAGACTTTTTTTTTTAACAAAAAGGCAGTACATATCGTCTCATGTGTAACCTGAACGTTCCCGGAAAAATAAAGTTTTATTCAAATACTGGTATGCAAAGACCACCAGGAACATATGTAGATGATTATCTCTAACAAATCACAATTATTTTTTAACAGACCACATGTGAGAAGTGTGTTTTGAAGATTTGGCCTTCAATACTTTATCAACCCAATAGGGGAGGGGGAAAATAGTCTTAAAAGTTGGTCAGGCAAACCAGGCTTTTGAAGGGCAATATCCCCTGAGAGAGATTGCTGATCTTCATTCCGTGAAATCTAAATTAGAGTTCCTAGTATACTTTTTTTTCCAATTCAAGCCCATGAGCCGTATCTTAGAACAGACCCAACATTAAGCTAAATAGATATGTAAAAGCTTTTTGCAGGATATTCATGGAGTAAACAGTTCTGTTTGTCATTCAGCAGGCTTCAGGAAGAAGTGAATGGGAATATATTATTTCACATTTTATGTTCTTAGCATATATTTAATTGAAGTACCATATTGAATACAAAATTAGATGGAGGGAGAAGAAAAGTAATCTGTATTTTCCCCAGACAGAAGGTCCTTTTTCCCTCCTATAAATAGTACTAGACCTAAACACTTGAACATTTTCAAGTATCATAACTGAGCCATCTCTATTGTACATGTCATTTTCATAAGAATTGAAGGAGGGGGAAAAAAACTGGTGCACAAGTGCCTTAGGCTCACCAAACCAGTTGTTAAACCAGTTGCAGACCACCACTGAGTTCATCTAATGGTTTCAAACACAATTTAAATCACTTTTTTATTTCTAATTATAGTTACAGGAACACACAAAGTGTTTTTTTTTTAATTGTTGCTTGGATTCAATCAAGCCATACTAATCTCCAAATTTGTTCAAAGTAAATCAAGAT